CCAGGTGGGCACAGCCCATAGGTTCACGCATATACAGACAGCTGATAATCATTGCGTGATCATAGCATAGGTCAGGCCTTAGCCATCTCAGGAGTTGATTATACATCTCCATCAGGTGTGACACCACGCAGCTCACTACAGGGCTCCATTTTGGACTTCTCAAACCAATGAACCCCCTTCCACAGAACAACAGCAGCAGCAGCAACTCTGACAAAAGCCAGCTTTCATTCCGGGGCGGGGGGGGGGGGGAATAGTGGCTTGTTTGGAGCCAGAACTTAGAGGCCGTGGCCAGCAATGTGTATTCAGATTGTCCTGAATGACCCGCTCCACTGTAGAAGTAGTGACAGTCACAGCACAAATGTCACTTAGGGCACTTACCAGCTACACTGTGGGAACAGCAGGTAGGCTGGTTATAGTGAAGAAGGAGGTCTCTGCTGTAGGGGCAAGCCACTGTGTGATCTGATGACATGCTTTGGATACTCGAAGCCCGTGTGTGGTCTGTTAATGGTTTTACCTGCTAGTCAGAAGGCTAGCTAGATACAGGCATGGCCGATCAATGCCTACGAATGGGTACTAAAGATAGCCCCTGGTAATTTTAGCTCTGGATCCGCAACATTCCAAGTCTCTGCATTCATGGTTGTTCTAATCAGTCAATTAATATGCAAAATCTTCAACACAGATGTGGCCTTTTCAGGGGAACCTCAGTTCACAAGAACGGAGCACACGCAGGTGCAGTAGGTTGATGACTTGCCAGTCGGCAGGGGCAAGACTGGAGGTCACGCTACAGCCACACTGTGGACATGGTATCTGCTGTCCCGATATGTAAAGGGATAGACTCGCGAAAGCCCTGCTTAGGACAGCCATATCTTCCTCATTGAGACACTCCTCCCTGAGACAAGCCTGGGGTAAATGAGCGTCTCCCAGGCACTGGCCCTATCTGCCATCCACTGACCTGTTCCTAGTACTTGTGCCCATAGCCCACCTCTAGCGCCTTTCCCCCAGGATGGTGAGGAGTGGTTTCTGGTTGATATAGCTTTGACTGGAGTTCGGCAGAGGAGAGGAACAGTCTTCCAAAGGTGTCCCGCACCGCCAGCCACCCGCATCTTCATCTCCTGTACAGAGACTGGAGAACTAGAGCCAGCCTTGTGTGTGAGAAGATGGATGAGCGTGGCCAGAGCCTAGGCAGGAGTCGCAGAACACAGGCCTCAGTATGGGCACGTGCTGACAGACTGGTTTGGTGGCGCTGCCTTTGCCTGAGTACTTGAAGCTCAGGAACGCTGTCCTTATTGTTGACCCAAAGGATAGGGCTGGCCTTGAAGGAGGGGGGGCTGCAGACACCACTGGTGAGGGATAGGGGTCTTTATTTGGAAGGCACAGCAGGGAAGGGGGCAGTAAAACACTTTGCGCCTGACTTTCCGTAGAATTTCTGGGCTTTGCTGCCACCTGGTGGACAGAATCTAGAAGTAATGGTTGTAGTTGGCCAAATAATGGTGTCTTGCTGGATATTTCTTTCTTTCTGAACCACTTACTGGGAAAGTTCTTCTAGCTTGGGGGAAGGGAGTTCCCGGGTTCCTATAAGTCCCCCACATGCCATGCTTACAAATCTTCTTCTATGGATTTAAAGCTCATTACAAAGGGTCAAGGCCGTAGGGCTGCATGGGAGATCTGGCCAGGCTCAGGATGGGATCCTCAAGTGCGGAAGGCTCTCACACTGTTTCAGTGCTGAAGTTTTATGGAGAAACTCTGTTAGGAAGCTGAAAGTGTGGGGGTGAGTAGGGAACATAAAGGGACAGAGAGGACACCAGTGTGTGGGTGCAGCATGGTACAAGCAGGCTCCTTAGTGGCCTGGCCTTAAGGTAAGTGCCTAGCTCATTTGGCTAGACCTGTCTTTGATATGGAACAAGCAGGACAAAGGACCCATCCACCACTTACCAGGATCAATTCTCCCTGGTTCCAAATGTGTCCTGAGCCAGTGAAGAAGGACCAGCATGACGCTAGGTGTCTCTCCTTGAGCCTTGTAGATTCCCTCAACTTTTCTCCACTGGGATCTCAGAACCCCCAATACCTATGAAGTGGCAATGGTGTGAGCCCCACTTGTAGACACACGAGGAGACCCAAGATGCAGAAGATTTGACACTTTGGGGTCTAACACTCCACAACACACTCAGATTGTTCTCAGAAAACATGGTTCAGAAAGCAGAGGGATGTCTAAGTGTAGCTCTGGTCTCCCTCCTCCCAAAAGCTCCAACAGAAAACCGAGGTAGACCCCTCTTCCTTAGCCACCCTCTCCCGAGCCACACAGCTAAAGGTCCCTTTCGAAAGGCTTCTAGGAAAGGAGCGGCAGGTTGTTCTTTTCCAGACTCCTGTTTTATTAATCATTGTTAGCATTGGCATCGCCAGGAAGTCCTTCCTCCAGTCTAACTTCTACACTTCCAGAGAGGGAGAAAGAGAGAAAGGGGTAGGAGGGAAAGGCAGGAAGGGAGAGAGAGAGAGAGAGAGAGAGAGAGAGAGAGAGAGAGAGAGAAGCCAGGCGCCAGCCTCTATTTCAGGATGGCGTATTCTTATTCCCTAAAACTAGGGTTGAATTCTCTAACCACGACACTGTGACATTCCAGGCTGGCCATCACAAGCCTCAGTGGAATAGCTTAAATTATAGAGGACTAAGTTAGAAAAATGGAAAGACAAAGATCCAAAAAAAAAAAATACCCACACCCAGTCCCAGCTGATAACTAGTTGGTAGCCAAGTGTTTGCCTTGGGGTGCCCTCCACCTCACCGGTCAGGGTATCCAGTGCAGCTGGAGGAAGAGGCCAAGGAGTTGGTGTTAGGCCAAGGCAATTGCGTGGGGTGGGCTGGACCAGTGTGACTGCCTCCGGTGCAGTCAGAGGAGCTGCCCCTTCTTGCCCAACATCCCCCTCCCCCGAAGATGCAGAGGGTGGCGGAGGGAGTGATTAGCATGGGGCATTGTCCCCAGATAATGGGCCCCAGCTGCCTCCAGAAAGGAGAGACAAAGCGCCTGGCAGCTCCACGCGCATTATCCCCTCGTTAAATCTCTGTTATTAGATTAGATTCAGAATGTATTGATTCAGAGGCTGGGGGAGGAGGGGGAGGGAGGAGAAGCTGGCTGGCAAGCACCGAACTGCACCCCCCCATCATCAGGAAACTTTTCCTCTAAACTAGCCTAGGGGGAACTCACAGTTGTGGCCCCTGCCTCCCAACCCAACCACGCAGCACTGGCTGATGAGCTCAGCCTACCTGTCCCAGCTCTCCTGAAAAGCCACCAGGTATCCACTCTAGGGTATGCCTTTAAGGTCGTTGAGCACAGGTGGCCAACATTAGGCACAAAAGCAACTTCCATCCTAGGAGCCAGTGGCAATCTCCTAGCAACCCGAGCTACAGACGTGGAGAGCACCAAGGCTTGCAGGGCTACAGAGCACTTCCACAGTTGGGGGTGGGGGTGGGGGGGAAAGGGTGCTGCTAGAAGCAGGGTGGGTGGGGAAAGGCCGAGGAGCACTTGGGAGGTGAGATGGGGAGGTGCAGGAGGGGCATGGAGACCTAAAGCCCATCCCTCTTCATAGGACAGGCTCAGAGGCAGTGGGGCCCTGTTAAACTACAGCAGGCCTAAAGAAGCTGGACCATGCTAAAAGCCTTTGACTGCTCACCACTAGCAGAAGGAAAGGCTGGTTCTCTGCCCTCACTCTGGTACTATGGTTTTTACCTAGAGCCTGGCGTGTTTCTCTGTGGGTCTGTTTGGTAGCCACTCAAGGAGTGTTGAGTGTCTGTCTAACTTGTCTTCCTTCTTCAGACTACCCCCACTGGAGAGGACAACTCTTGGGTAAAAGCCGTTATCTTCTGAGAGCCACCTTGACCCCTCAAGCCAAGGACCTCTTGGGACAATCTTGCAGATGAGATAGTGATGGGTGGGGATAGACAGGTCCTTATCTCGACTAGAATTGGTCAATTATTCCTACCTCCTGCCACTGGTCACAAATCTTCCTTCATTTATTCCTAAAGTTCATGTCAGTACCCTGAACCTGAATTTAGGGTCACTGTACCCTCTTATCTGATTTATCCCAATATGGCTACCTCTCTGCTCATTAAACAATACTACCCTCTCTCCACAGGGTCTCACTGTCACTCAGACCGACCTTGAACTGACAGTAATCCTTGGCCTCATGAGCACTGGGTGTACAGGTGTGAGCCACCATTCCTGGCTCTACTTATCTCTTCCATTGGCACATTAGGGATTGGAGGCCCAGCCTCATCTCTGACTGAGGCCCAGCCTCAGACTGAGCTTTAGTTATGAAAGGAAGGGAATAAGCAAGTGATTGGGTGTCCCCAAACATGGACATGGTAAAGACTTCTTAGGGCATGGTCCAAGATTAGCATTGATAAAGAGAAGTTCTCCAGTGCTGGGCCTCAGTTTCCCATCCTTGGGAAGCATAGTACAGATGTCAAATCAATGCTCCTATTGGTTGTGGTCAGTGGACCAGAAGATGTTACATGCAGCAGCTCATTCCTGAGGTGCTTAATTGGCCGCCTCAGTACTGGGCTCTGTCGCCCCATTGATTACGAATGAAGGGTGAGAAGGGGGAGATGGGGAATCAATAGGCTGATGAGTGTCTTACTAGCTCTCTGGTTGAACACTTTGTCAATAGCTACCCACTTAATGGCCAGTGGTGCATTGACTGTCCATCTTTCTATCCTTATGGCCTGGGATATGAGAACCTTCTGAGAGCGTGTGACGAGGCCCAGCAATCCTAGTAGGTGGGGCAGCTTTTGACTCTAAAGCCAGGCTCCAAGTGAGGAATTGCAGGGCCTATCCTGAACAAGGAGTGCCCCACTTCTTTCCCATCCTTGCTCAGCCAAAGGAAACTCTTGGTCCCACATTCTCCTGTTCGCTAACAGAGCCTGACTCACACACAAGCAAAACAAAACAAAAGGTGAAATTTTGAAGTCATATCAAAAGTCACGTGTCTGGGGCGGAGGTGGTGATGAGACCTCAATCCTGGTTCACCAGAGGAGCTAGCAGGAAGTTAGAATCCAGGAACTCTTTCTGATAGTGGAGATCCTGGGACAAAAGGCAACTAATAAAAGGTAAACCAGGTGAGCCCTTCTTCAGCCTTGGGCTCTTTTAGATGTCACAAACCCCAAGGCTCCCGATTTCTGCCCTCTGCTCAGCCTCCAGGTGGTTTGTGAGCTGAAATTGCAGAGTTTGGGGGTTTGAGAATGGCCGTTCCCAGTGTTTGTATTGATTCTCTTATTGTTGACTGCTCTGGAATAGCTTAAGAGGTAAGGGAACTGTTTGATTTTATCCCAGATAATTTTTTGGTGGGTCCTGTCCCTGTAGCCTGGCCATTTGTTGTCTAGTCCCCCCTACCTTGCTTTACCTTGACTGTCAAGCAACTCATATATTTTTATATTTTGGTTGTGAGCCTAGCCTTTAACTGTTGAGCCATCTCTTCAGCCTAGAGTGTCAAGCAACTCAAGATAGCGAGAAGGATAAGATAGGAACAAGCTAAAGTGTCAGAGGGAGCCTCATCTACACACTCTTGACTAAGACAGAATATTCCTTTCCCTAGATGCCTGTTAGGTGGGAGGAGTTGGGGCATTGCTTAGCGCGTCTAAGCCTTGATGTATAGGACAGGTGACAGTTATGTCCAAGTTATATCCCAGCTCTGCCTCCATCCAAGTTAGGGGCACCAGGCACTAGTTACTAAGAGTTCTCAGCGGAGGTGGCTCAAGCTAAGCCTTGCCTTCAGAGTCACCTAAGCACGGAGCTGGAGGGTGCTGACCGTGGTGCTGAAGTCTTATCACCTCGCAGCACTCTGTTGCAGTGTTAAGAGCTTGCTCCCTAGAGACCATAAATCCAGAAGCGCTGGCCCACAGGAATGCTTCCAGCATTTTCCCAGTGGGCTGCAAAAAGCCTCCCTTTCTCCCCTCGTTTGATAAATGCTCAGTCTTGACCTTCAAACTGATCCACCTCCTGTTGTTTCATCATGATGGCTGTCACGTCACCCTCTAGTTCCCTGGTCCAGGACGCATCAGTCAACTGAAACTACAGGTAACTTCACCATCCAGCCTTTTCCCATAGCTGAATACAAATGGTCATGGACAGAGAATAAGATATCATTGCGTTTTATTATCCCCTGCCCCCACTGGCTGATAAAGCTGAGTGCTTAGGGAAGTGGCCACAGGTGAGCTGAAGAGGGAGCCATTGGGGACTGGATAAAATGGATGCAGAAGTCTCAGGCACCTATACTAGAGGGTTAGTTTTTCTTTGAACAAGAAACAAATTTTGTGGAAATAAGCAGTTCCAAGGGAAGCTTTAATCGGGGAAGTGCTGGAAAGGAAATCAAGGCCCGATGCACTGATGAGTGAGTAAAGTTAGAGGGTACTTGGTTTCTCTCGAACTAGAATATCATGCTTTAAAGCCATGGTTAAGGAAGCTGGGAATGAAGTGGGGAAGGCAGAATGGGTCTTCATCACTAAGTTTCGGGACCAAGGGTTCAGACACTGGTTTGGGACTGCTCAGACTAACTGGTGTTGGAAACAGAATGAAGGACCTAAGGGGAAATCCCCCATCCTTAGCTTACCCAGCCCCGAGTACCCTGCTGGGTTGTGTCCACTCGAGAATAATGCCAAACGGACCAGAGCGTGACCAGGGTGATGCTGTAGACCAACACAGCTAGCAGGTAGATGCGGAAGAGCAGCCTGTCCAGCACATACCCCACTCGTAGCCAGTCCCGAGCCACCTCCCGCATCTCATCCCGCTTCTCCAGGAAGTGCCGGATGGAGGCTAGCTCTTGCAAGAGCCCACGCACAGCCAGCGAGGCCTCTCTAGGTGGTGGGGGAGGGCTACCTCTGCCCCTTGAGGTCTTCTCCAAGTCCTGGGGTCCCCCAACATGGCTGACGTGGTTTCCCATGGCTGGAAGAGGAACAGCCTTGGTGTGAAAGGGAGGCCAGTGAGCTACCCTGATGCTATAGCAGAGGAGTGGGGTATGGGGACCAGACGTCAACTTTGGCTGTCTTCCTCCGTTGTGTTCTCCCTTTCTCTCTCTCTTTTAGGACAGGGTCTCTCTATGTGGTCCTGGCTGGCCTGAAACTCACTACATAGACCAGGACAGCATCAAACTCAGAGATCTGTCTATTCATGTCTCCCACAGTGCTTGGGATTCAAGGCGTGCACCACCACACCCAGCTCCTCTGAGCCCTTCTCAGCCCATGGGGCTCAGCCTCCAGGACTTGCATCCCCAGACTGGTAAGGGGTTCAAAGGCAAAGCAAAAGGGCATGACTGGGCGTGGTGGTGCACACCTTTAACCCCATCACTTCCAAGACAGAGGAAAGATCTCTGCAAAGTCCAGCCTGGTCTACATAGCTTGTGAGACCCTGTCTTTTTTTTTTTTAAGTGGAAAGGGAAACAAGGTTCCAGTCTGATGGACATCTTTGACTGAAGCATCCTCCTGCCTCCATCCTGTACCCAATCCCCAGGTCCTACCCTGCATTCCTGGCATGTCACAGCCCCCAGACTCTCTGTGTGAGTCTGGCCCTATCCTCTCTCACCTGAACAGTCATCAGCCTTGCTGGCTTGAAAGGTAGCTGGAGGCCTATTGGTCATTGGCTGCTCCCCAAGGCAGAGCAGCCAGGCTATTTTCCGTAGGACCAGGTGCCTTAGCCAGTCCGGGACGGGCCGCTGTAGGTCCTGCTTGTGTACCAGCCGCACAATGAAGATGGTCTCGGCAAGGCTTATCACCAGCAGAGCCATGCAGACCACAAAGTAGACGCCTGAGCCAGAGAAAGAGATCCACTAAGAGTGGGGGCAGGTCCTCGCCACAGTGGGCACTTCCGGGGGTGGGGCTTACCGATGAGGGGCGTGCCGATGGCCGTTGCAGGCAGGGTATCCGACACAATGATGAGAAAGACGGAGTATCCCAGAAGGAGTGTGATCTTGAAGGAGACTCTCTCGCCACTGTCCGGGGGCAGGCAAAAGCCCACGATGTCTACCACCATGAGGAAGATACTGGGCAGCAAGAGACTGACTGCGTAGAATAAAGGCCGCCGGCGGATGACCACCTGGGACCAGGACAGAAGCTTGGGAAATGACTGGGCAGACAGGAACCCCGGACCATTAGTCCATACCCACCCCACTCTCTTACAGAATGTCTAGCCTGGACTGTTTGGGAAGGAGAGTAACAGACCTCCCGCACCAGGCTTGTGGCTGCTGAGGATAAACATGGGGGTGCTTCAGTGGTGTCCCTGTCTCTCTTGCTGAGGTTGCATGGAATGTGTATGGACCTGGAGTTGGCAGAAGGGCTACTATATCCTTCCCAGTTTGCCTCCCGAGGCCACCGGCGCTGTGGAGGTCTGCTTGTTTCTGTGGCTACCCAAGGCACCGCCACACCCACTCACGTAGAACTTCATTTCTGCATAGCTGCTACTGGTTTCCATACTGAACTCCTGGAACTGGGGCAGCACTCCCAGTAACTCCCACTCGCCCTGGTTCATGAAGATGCTCTTGTCTGACCTCACTTCTTCTGGTGACCTCCACAGGGAAATGTTGATGTCCTGGACTAAGAGGAGACAAAAAGCCAAAAAAAAAAAAAAAAAAGCTTTGGACACTCAAGCATAGAGCGTTCAAGCCTGAGGCATAGGATGAACAACACCCAAGGCACCTTCTTGTCAGATCTCTACACCCCAGACTTCTGCCCTTAACCCTCAGCCCTGGTTTCCTCAGCTGCACATAAACAAAGTTGCATGTGGGTGGGCGTGGCTGTGGCGGGGATGGCATCAGAAAGCGAGGTGACAGAACACATTCCATCTGTCTCACAAGCCTATAGGGCAAAGAACTGTAGGAAGTGTCCATTAGAAAGCTTTCTGCTTCTGTCTCTCTCGCTCACTTACACACACACACACACACACACACACACACACCTTCCAAACAGATTTCTATGTTAGGGTTTCTCACCTAGGAAATGAATTAAACACAACATTTTTACCTCTGCCTTCGTAGAACTACCTGTCTTTGAAAAAGAATTAAGAAAATAAGATAAATCTTCAATGACACCATACCAAAGATATATATACACACACATATGGGGGTGGGTGTGTATGTATTATACATATATATGGAATGTATATTATATAATATAATATAATATATAAAGAAAACTAAATGTCTATCAGGGGAGAAAATATTTAATAAACAATGATATACCTAGATGAGTCTATTGCAGTTAAAAATTATGAGGAAGATCTCATACACACTAACTTTGAAAAAAGTCAGGGATTCATTGTTGATACAAAGAATCAAGTAGCAGTGTATGATAGTATATGCAATATGTGCCCTCCATAGGTAGCACATGCACATACATGTGGGTGGAAATGCATAGAGAAGTAAATGGAAGATTCTATCATGACATGTTCTGTTTAAACAATTTCTTTCTGTGTACGAGTGTTTGGCCTGCATGGATATTTGTGTACTGTGTGTGTGCAGTGACTATGGAGGCCAAAAGAAGGCATTGAATTCCCTGGAAGTGGAGTTAACAGTTGTGAGCTATCACGTGGGTGCCAGGAACAGAACCCAGGTCTTCTGGAAGGGCAACAAGTACTCTCAACTGCTGAGTCATCTTCCAGCCCCTTTAACTGAAGTTTATTGTAATGGCCGTGTCAGAACAATAGTCCGGCAGTATGCCTTCCCCAACCCTCCACTGAATAGCTGGCACTTATACACTCACTAAAAATTCTCAGAACCAGACACTGTGCTGGAGAGCCTAACAGTGCCAGAAAACATGTTCCCACTCCTCTGAAATTATATCCACGAGAAAATTAGACACGGACTGAACACACATTATCAAGTGATGAAGTTAGTAAGAAAAACCAGGGTTTTTAAAAACTGCACGGGAGATTGCTAGTCTAGGGGGCTATGGGAAGTCCTCCCAGGGGCTGTTGACACCTGAGGGATATACAGGTGAGCAGAGAGGTTCAGCAGGCTGTGTTTGGGGTGGCAGGAGTAGGGGAATGGAGAGGGGAAGGTAGCCTGGGAGAGGGAAGAGCCTGTGACAGAGAACAGGCAGGACCTCTGTCTGGGCCTCCAGAAGAAGACAGCTGGGCTGGCACACACCAGACGAAGCTGGTGTGGTACACTGTGGGCAGGACCAGGTCAAGGATTTGGATCGGGTCCCAGGACTGCTGGGAAGCCATTGAGGGGTTTAAATGACATGATCAATTTGCATTTTTAATAAGAGCTCACTGGCTGCTGTGGGGAGCGTGAACCACAGTGGGGGTGGTGTGTGGGGAAGACCGGGGCCGGAAGGAATGAGAGCACCTGGGCAGGAGGTGTGATGTGATACAGGAGTGAAGAGGAGTGGGACGGGCCTGAGATACATTTCCTGCCAGATCCTCTTTGAGACACTGAGTGAGAATTGTCCCTTGCTGAGTGCCTTGGAGCCGGTTCACACCGTCTCATTATTCCTTGTAACAACTAGGGGAGGCAGTGAGAACAGCAATATTGGCTCCAACTGGAGGAATAGGAAATGGAGACTCGTTGACTTTAAAAAGACCATGGTGGAGTCCTTGCTTAGCATGTATAAGGTCTTAGGTCAGATCCCCAGAACCACAAAGGAACAAGACAAATGAAAAGAGACTGGTTAAAGGGAAGAGAAGAAGGGGAAAAAAAATAAGTGGTGTCTTGATTAAGGAAGGATGTGTCAGAGAGAGTATTCCTGACCTCAAGTACCTAGAGTCCCAATCTCTGCCCCACCCACAAGCGCACATACTCACTGGTGTGCAGCCAGCTGGTGAAGGTCAGGGAGCAGTTCTGCACATCAAAGGGGAAGTTATAGATGTCAAGGCTGCAGGCCGTCACCACCTGCAGGGGCTTGTAGTTCTGGACTTCGCCGTGGTGATGCACATACACGTACGGGATGTTCGGAGACTTTCCCACGTCCACGCTGCTCAGGGAAGAGGAATCAATGTGTGGGCTGAAGAGGCAGATCCTTGCCCGGGGAAGCTAAAGATCTTTTGAGTAGCCCAGTAGGAAAAGAAATTCAGGGAAGGTTTGGACAGCAAGATAATCCAGACATTTTGTCTGGCCTTAATTTTCCAGTGTTATCAAGCTTAGCTTTCTGACTATCATTGAAGTCGTGTTCCAAACAATAAAAGGTGTTTCTCTTTGATTCCTCTAGCAACCTAACTCTTAAAGGGGGAGAAGGAATCCATGAGTCTACAAGCCACTGGCTGTAGGGAGCTAGCCTCGCCGCCTCTAGGCTGTTACACCCACTCCATGCCAGATAGAAAAGAGGTGACACCCAGGATAACGGTGGGTGGATAGGAGAGAAGGATCCTATGATCCATCCTGACTCTGATTTTGCGTTGATTCTCATTACTGGAAGCCCCCAAATAGGAACAGTCATCATCTCAGGAGGAAGAGAATGGAGACTATGAGTAAGAATAGCGGAGCCTAGGAAAATCCAACAAGAATCAGCCCATTCTCTTGACTGAGCCTGGACCCCAAGGCCTGAGGTAAGCTGAGCCCAGGGTCCCTGTCTTTACCTTCTGTGGGATAAAAATGAGAAGCTAAGATAAAGGGCAGGAAGAAATTTCTAGAACACTTGCCACCTATGCCATTTGGGGCATTCAAGAGTGGGGTTAAATTTAATAGTCTTCGGGAAAATGCCATAGAGTAGGATAGTGCAGTTGGCACTGTATGAATCCCTCTGGCACCTCCCTTTTAGTATTATTATTAAATTTTTAATAAGGTTTTATGTAGTCCAGGCTGGTCTTGAACTTTCTGTGTAGTCAGTCAGGAATGAACTTGAACTTCCGATAACCTTGCCTCCATCTCCCAAGTGCTGGGACTGTAGGCCTGTGCCACCTCATTGGGTTTATTCGATACGAGGCATGGAACCCAGGCACTTTGCATGCTAGCCAGATACTCTGTCAATTGAGTCACAGACCCAGCCTACCTTCCCCCTCCTATCTGTATTTTCCCCACGTATTTTCCTTGCCTTTGAACTCAGATGTCCAGTTGGTGGACCCTGGATGAACCTGCAGGATGGGGAGAAAGTCGGCTGGCTGAAGGCAATGGGACCATGTTGGGCTGCTGGGAACAAAAGCTAATGAGACCCACTTCATACTGGAGGTGCCAATTGTGGCCTGTTCGGCACATAAGTGGCTTGGGAGGTTTGAACATGTTCCTTGGCTCCCGATCTCTTTTGTGACCACGAGCATTGGCTGTCATCAGTGTTCCACTCGTTTCAAAAAAAAAAAATGCCACGATCCCCTCTGACAAATGCAGCTGTCTCCACTAAGTTATTAGAACTCAGTGTGACATCACTTGCTGGCTTCTGTTCCTACGATGGAGGCCCCTGTACTGAAAAGTATAAGGTTGTCGCAACCAGTGCAAAAAGAAAAAGTTGGAGGTTAGCAAAGAAGAGAAAATTTGGTAAAGGAGAGCTTGAGCAAATGCTAACTTGGCCTATAGCCTGCAAACCTGGCTGGGACAGTTTGGAGGCTGCAAAAAGGACATTGTCACCAGGCCTGGCTTCTCTAGCCCCAGCCTCTCAGCCCCCTAGACTCTGATGAAAGTACTCACAACTCATTGATGAGAATGTCAGGGACCCAGACGCTGTCTGTGGGGACGGACAGTTTGGTGATATTGTCAAAGTCCTCGGGAGTCCACTGCAGAAACTCGTCAGTCCAGAACTGTGGGAGAAGCAGACACTGTCACAAGCAGCTCCCTGCCTTCTTCAGAGATGGTCACCTGCAAATCAGACAGCTCTCCACCCCTTATGCTAGGGCAGTAGGTGGCCGGGCAGTAGGTGGGCATCTTCCAGGGAAATCTGGCCATGGACCCACATCACTCATTGGTTGCTGAGAGACCTCACCCCCACCCCTACAGCTTTCCATCATCTGCATGTGTAACAGCACAGACTGCTGCAGCCTCTTCTGAGGAAGCATGCAGCCTGACCTTGTTTGGCTCCTTGCCCGTGAGGCCGGGTGTGTTCTGAATTAAGGGGACCTTCATAGAGACAGAAGTGGAGCAGCCTAATAGGGATTAGTGTTTCTCTGCTACGTTCTCTGTCCCATACATGATGGTATCGTGGCGATAGAGCATGGCTATGACTCAAGAAGGAATTCCATGGAGACCTGTGGATACTGCTATGCCTACAGAGCCTCTGCGGTGAGGCTTCTCTGGTTTACCTCCCTCTCCAGAGCTCACCCAAGGCCTGAGACATCTGTATACCAGTGTGACCTGCACCTGTCAGAAATGAACATGTGCCACCAAGGCAGAGTCCTGAGGGTTATTAAGGGGATGGCTTCTCTCTGTCTCCATCTCTCAATCTGGTGGTTAACCAACTTAGTGTAGAAGAACTTTCTAGAAGTTGGAGCTGTGTACATGAAGTGAAGTGAGGCCAGGGGCTGTCCTTTCTCCGGGGTTATTCACTCAGCACTTGTCAGGGAACCGTCAGAGAATCTGAGAAACCAGGGGTGGGGCCTGGGAGGATGCCCCGTACCCACTTGGCCCTGGCTCTGAAAGGGGAACATTTCAGACTCCTAGATCTTCTGCCTACTGTGCCTCTGAACCTCCATCGTGGCCCCTGAGATTCCTGACTCCTTGAGAGGGGGATGTCCTTCCTGGTAGAGAAGTCTCATCCCAGGAAGCAGGTGGGGAGAGGCGGTCGGCTCACCTGCCGGTACCAGATGTAGGTGGTCAGTACCTGGTTCTTCTCATCCTAAAAAGGGAAAAGGAGCTGAGAGATTGTCCTCCACACACCACCTAACAGGAGCTGGTCTTCTGGGAAGGCAGGAGGGAGGAAGGGACTGGGGAAGAGGATACACTGGCCGCTGGGCAGCCAGGAGAAGCTGGTCTGTTAAGAGGACATGACTAGAAAGAAATGCAACGGTTTCTTTTCAAGTTCAAAGATACACAGTGTGGTATGGCGGTCCATGTCTATAATCCAGTATTCGGGGGGCTGATTCAGGCATGTTTGTGAACTTGAGGCCAGCCTCGAAATGTGGTAAAACTCCCTCTCAATAAAACAGAAAGAAAAAAACCCTAAAGATATGTAAATTATGCATGTTTTCTGTTGTCATTGTTTACACATTTATATATATATATTATATAATGCATATAGGGCCTGCTGTATTATGAAATTAAGAGACTCAAAACTATAGAATAATAAAAGTGGTTACTCCCCTCTCCCCCAGCTAATTGCAGGTCTCCCTTTCTGAAACAGCACACCAACCTGCCGTTAGCTACTCTTTCTAAAGATCTTCTAAGTGTTGCAATTCCCTCCTATGTTGGGGGAGGGGTGTCATGTGACCCAAGCAGCCTGTGAAGTCAGTTCCCACCTCCCCATTGCAAGACGGAGAGCCCACAGCTCTTCAAATGCCTTTGTGTCGATCTCAAACAATGCTTGGCCTCACCTGCTGAACAGTGCACCCCAGCCCATAGTTATTGATTAGCTCACTGATCTATTACTTGACATTGGATCTACTGTTGCCATTTAGTGACCCCTGCCACTCAGGGACCTGTGTAAGGCACTAACTAGGGGTGTCGAGACGATACGTGGAGACAGTTTCCATCATGCAGGAGGCGACCACATCTAGGAGAGGGTGCACATAGGTGGCCCAGGTTTGTGGTTTGGGCAGCTGTGCAGACACAACTTCAGTCTGTCCTCAGCCATGATGCCAGACCATAGGCTCAAGGCTTCTGGACGCCTACGGTACCTCCCAGAGGTGATTTGGCCTCACGTGGCTTCTCGGATCCTCCCTAAAAAGTTGAGGGCAGCTCACCACACTGAGGATGGCATACATGATGACATCGATGGAGACGGTGGTGGGCTTCCTCCAGTCCCGCACGGGCCGTACCGCTTTCTTGTAGTTGGTCAGGAGGTGATCCGACAACCTGAGCAGAGCGGGTAGGGTGGTGTTGCGGGCCTGGGTGGCCGCCCTCCGGCTGGCTGGGAAGGAGAACAGTTTAACACAGGAGTCAGAGCCCTGGTGCTCCTGCCCCAGCTTAGAATCTGTTCAGAAATTTCATCCTCTGGGCAGGTGAAACGGCTCAGTAAGTAAAGGCACCTGCCATCAAGCCTCATGACCTGAGAGAACGGGCTTCTGCAAGTTGTCCTCTGACCTCCACATACATGCCAAGGCATACGTGTGACCACACGCGTGCACACAACAATAATGATGATGATGCTAATAATAACAATAACAGCAACAATAATGTAATTCTAAAGAGAAGAAACCCTAGCACCGGGCCCTGGCCCTACTCTGGATATTTTGAGTATTCCTCGGTTTCCCTCTGGAAGACAGTGGTAGTGACTCAGAAAGCAGGGGTGACACTTGAAAGCCTCACTCCCTTCGGCAGCACGCCTACTAAAACTGGAATGATACAGAGGTTATGGAGGACCCTGCCCAAGGATGACATGCAAGTTCGTGAAACAGTCCATATTTCACGAAACAAAATAAAAGCCAACGTGCATTGGCAGGAGGGCACAGCCCAGAGGGCCAGGACCCAGGCATCAAGAAGGCGGGATTGTAGAGTTTGCAAGGGACTGACTGGTCCCTTGCAAACTAGGAGCCACAGGGCTTGTTATCACTAAATAATACCATGTCCTCGTATCCTGCGATCAAGTTGGTCACCAGACAGCAAGCCATTCTTGCAGGTCCTTCACTAGTGTGTCATCTACTTGCCCCATAAGCTTCCTCCCTGTCTGGAAGGACAGAGGCAGGCAAACAGAATTGGAAGGGGCTATTTTTAAGTTTGTTTTATTTGGCTTTGCTTTTCAGGCAGAATCTCACATAGCTGAGGCTTGCCTAGAACTTATCATGTGACCTTGAACTTCTACCCCCCACCCCTTCACTTTCTAAATTCTGGGATTACAGGCTTGTACTTCCACTCCTGGTTTTATGCGGATTGGAGCCAGGGCTGTGCGCACACATGCTAGGTTCGGCAGGCCTCTACCAACAGAGCTATCCCCAGCCTCAAGAGACTTTCTTTTATTGAGTCTTCTTCAGAATAATGGAATAGTATCTGCACAAGTCTTCCATTTCAATCTCGGGATAGCCTGCCAGAGTAGCTAGCAAGATAGACCATTATACGAACACGATTCCCCAAGGCACAGGAGGGCAAATAGCATATACTGCTAGCCGAGAGACAGAGATTCAAACCACATTCCATACCACTACCTGAGATTCTGAGAGACTTGGAAGGGGGGTCTGGTGGGCTTTGTGGACTCTTGGAGATATGGAGGGTGTGCCTGGCTGCAGAACAGGGTCAGCTGAGAGGAAAGGTAACTCAAAGCATTTACACATGCAACTTGCTTCTGATCCATCTACCTTGCTTCTCCTGCAATGACATCCTATTCCTAGCCTTCACATCAGTCCCACCCCCTCAGTGGCATCCTTCTCACTGTCCCCCAAGGTGTTGCCACAGAACTTTGTAGAAGAAACCTCCCTGAATGGGGCAGAACGTGGTTTGCAACAGAAGGACCCAGGGCCCATGTGGCCGAACACCCGATTTCTGAGGCAGTCAGAAGAAGATTCGGTAGAAAGGGCAGGAAGTTTGCTATTACTGGAGGTGAGTTTTGGAGGAACTTGGAGGAGGAGAGAGTCCACAGGACCCACACAACAAAACCAGCAGAAGCAAGAAAAAGTGACTAAAGTGGTACACTCTGCTGCTGCCCCTGAGTGAATTAGTTTCCCGCTCTGGACTGTGGCTGTAAGAAGAAAAAGTGGACTGAATGAGCCCACAGGTCCATGGCTGCTTCCGTTTGATAAGCTCAAAGTGAATGGGAACCGTCTCTTAGCACCTACCTGTGAATTTCTTATAGACAGACAACCACCCTACTCCTTTCTCAGCCCAGGACTCAACTTGAGCTCAACTTCTCAAACCACCTAATTGGACCCAATACCTTAGAATGCTTTCTCGCTCAACAGTACCAGGATAGAGATAGCCGACCTTCCTTCAGCCCTCCCGTGGCTCCAGCCTCTCCCTACCTTCAGCCCTTTGAGACCCAAGGCCTTCCCTCACCCCAGCTTGCTATTCCCTTCCCCAGCAAACTCCTTACCTTCTGCCTGGGCCAGAAGCGTGGACAGGAACAGGGCCAACAGCACCTGCGGCGCGCAGAGCTTCATGGCCAGCTTCCCGAGCGTGGGAGGGCCTCGGAGCAGTCGCTCAGGGTGAGTTGCCCTGACTACCAGTCTGCACACCCTCTGCCAACCTCATGTCCCAGGCAGCCTGCTTTTTCAACTGCTGTCTGCACCTTGTGAGAGACTGCAGCCTGGCACTCGGGCCACCAGAGTTGGGGAGCCGCCAAGTTTTCCAGCAAGCTGCTTTTCCGCTGGATCAGGTTTCAGGGCAGCGGGAGGAAGGGGAGGGGAGTCTGCCGGCTGATGTCAGGAGAGGGAGCTCATGCCACTCATTCAAGTACGAGCTTGGCCACATCTTGTCCAGGAAATGTTTTGGGAAAGAGGTCTACAGAATCTGTGGAGCAAAGATCAAGACTGACAGCAGTGGGACTGTACACTGGGCTGTCACTGTCACTAGTGTCTCTTCACAAGTATAGCATGGGGAGAGCCAGGGGTGGCTTAAGCAGGGGCAGCAGGAGTCATACTTTGGTTCCCCAAGGTGACATAATGCCTCTAGGGAAGCAGGTGACTGGACATTTTTCTGCAGACTGAGAGGATGCAGGGGGGGGGGGAGATGCGGAGTCAACTAAAGGTCTTTGCCTTCATCCTCATTCAATTAAAATTTTTTAAATTTCATTTTGGTTTATTTTGCTTTTTTAACTCAGGGTCTCTTCCAGCCCAGGCTGTCCTTGAACTCACTAGGACTCTGAGAATGGCTCTGGACTCCTAATCCTCCTGACTTTACCTCTCCAGGACTAGGATTACTTAAGGCAGGTTCCACCAAGAATTGAAGACAATGAAATACATTTTACATCTTTTTGCCTGATTTTCTGAGCTTCAACAAATACCATTACATGTGTGGCCTTCTGCCGCTTTCTGAATGGAGGAGGAATGGATGGGGGATGTAGATGGGATGTGAGAAAGGGGAATGGGAAGAGAGGAGGGAGGGGAAACTGTGGTGGGTATGTAAAATAAACAAAAAAGCTTAATAAAAAGAGAAGACATATATGGCTCTTTGTGGTTACAGTCTTATCTTAAGTTTGGGGACATAGTTGCGTGGTATGGTGCTTGCCTGGCATGCACAAAGATTACTTTAATCCCTGGTGCCACATGGCCAGGTGGTGCTCACCTCTAATCCCAGGGAGGTAGAGGCAGGAGGATCGAAAGTCTCAGGTCACTTTGAGCTACACAACTGGTTCCAGCACACTTTGGGCTACATGAGACCCTGCCTCAAGAGACAAACAAAAAAAATAATTAATTAAAAGTTAAAAATGAAAAGGGACTGAGCACTGTGCTTCCCATATGTAACTTCAGCACGCAGAAGGGTGAGGTAATAGAACAATAGGCTCGAGGCCAGCCCAGGCTGCACAGAGAACCTGACATGCCTGCACCTCCCTCCCCCCCCCCCCCCCCCCCCCCCCCCCCCCCCCCCCCCCCCCCCCCCCCCCCCCCCCCCCCCCCTCCCTCCCTTCCTCCCTTCCTCCCTTCCTCCCCTCTCATAAAGACTTAAAAATAATAATATGTATATATTTTAAAGATTTATTTTACTTTTAAGTATGTGTATATGGGTGGGGGGAGGGCATGGGTGAGCATATACGTGTGTGATCTACGTGTTGAGTGCAGGTGTCCTCAGAGTTTAGAAGAGGACTTTGGGTCCCCTAGAGCTAGAGTTACAGGCAGTTGTGGGCTGCCCATCATAGGTGCTAGGAACTGAACTTGGGTCCTCTACAAGAGCAATATATGCTTTTAGCTGCTGAGCCATTTCTCTAACCTTGTAAAAAAATATTTTTAATGTCATGCGTTTTTACTTTTAAAATTTTTTGTTGGGCATAAGTACATGTAGATTAATATTAATTATAGAAAATTATGGAGAACAGTTATAAGCATCCATAGGTTTCCTGCCCCAGAGAGAGTCACTGTTAATATTTTGGTGTATGTTCTTCTGTGAGTTCTTTCCATAAAGTGTATAGTTAAGAAAATAGGAGATTGGAAGGGTACCTCTGTGGTTAAGAGTATTGACTTCTCTTCCAGAGGTTCTGGGTTCAATTCCCAGCACCCACATGGCAGCTTACAACTGTCTGTAACTCCAGCTTCAGGGGATCTGATGCCTCTTCTGACCTCCTAAGGCTCCAGCATGCATGTGGTCCAGACATACATTCAAGCACACATACATCCACATAAAAGTAAATAGATAAATTATTTAAAATACACTATATATGATTTCAAAGCCTTCTTTCCTTCTTTTAAAAATGTATTTGTTATTTTTAAAGATTTTATTTTTAATTATATGCATGTATATGTGTGTGTGGGAAACGCAGGTGTCCATAGAGGCCAGAGGTGTTGGACCCCAGGAGCTGGAGCTGGAGCTGGAGCTGGAGCCAACCACGTCACATCCCTAGCACCAAGAATAATGTAAGATACTTTTTAAAGACAGGGCCTTTTGTAGCTGAGGCAGGCCTTGAACTCCTGCTACTCCTGTCTCCTCTTTCCAAGTGCTGGGATTACAGGCATGTACCACCAAGCCTGGTTTATGTGATACTGGGGATCAAACCTAAGACCTCATGCATGTTAGGCAAAGACTCTACTAATTGAGCTACATCCCCAGGGACCTGAATTGTTGTTAAAAGACAAACACGTGCCTTGGTCAGGCTGGATCCTTCCCACACTCACGTGAACTATAAACTGTGCACACAGCACTGTGACATTCCTTGGCAGATTCCCTTCCTAGGGATGCTAACCAGAATTTGGTTCTAGAAGGTTCCATCAAACTTACAGAGCTTTTGTTACTCTTTTATAAATTCATATGTTTCAAAAGTAACCATTCAGAACGAGGAAAATCAACGCATAGATTTTGTCTTGAGAGAATGGCAGTGAGACCAAGAGCAGAAAAGGACACTTGGTAAAAAAAAAAAAAAAAGGAGGACCCCCAAAATTGTAAATAATGTGTCAAGCCAGACAACCCCAAGAGAGGATGTTCTCAGATTTTGTGGTTCACAGAAAGGCAAGACAAGACAGGAGGATCCAGTCTATCTCTTGGATTTCAGTCTGGAAACACAAAGAAATCCAAAGCAGCAAGAAAGCAAGTCCACGCTGGGGACTGGCTAAAACCCCTGGGCTGCCTCTGCTTGGGAACCATTACCTCTGCAAAGCTGCTGCAGAGGGCTGCAGGATCTCTCCTCCCACTATGTGCATCGTGAGACCTGCAGACGACATGCTGTCACTCACATGGCAATAAGCCAGGGTTGAGCTTTCAGCAGACCTGCACCTGGGGTCACTGCTGATGCTACTTCATCACCAAAGAGCAGGCCACGTCCACACCCTCATCACTATGTTAGATGCTCTGCTGTGGGGCTCCGGGGCATACCCAAGTCATGCCCTCCATCTGAAGACAGAAAGTTAGGAGGAAGCAATCAAGAGACACCTTGTCTGAAAGGGGCCGCACCACAGCAGGACTGAAGAGGGAAAGAAGAAGCAGAAGATACTGAGGAGAACTAGAGAAGACGAAAAATATTTGAAAACCAAGAAGAGGAAGAAGAAAAGGGAGAGGAGACAAGGAGGGAAAATAGGATAGAGACTGAGTGGAGCAAGGCAAGGAGGGAGAGGAGCAGGAGATTGAAGGAGAGGAGGAAGAAGGTATTTGAAGCAGCTGGAGGTGGAGTGTGGAATGCCCCTCCCCATGGCCCTCCATGGTAGCTCATACCTGTAATCCCAGCTGCTTGGGAGGCTGAGGAAAGGGGACCAAAGCTGAAGCACGGCTGAGGATCAGCAGCTCAGTTCATAACAAGTTTACCTAGCACCCAAGAAGCACTAGATTCAGATGCCAGAACTCCACAAAGCCACGCATGGTGGTGCACACTTGTAATGTCAGCACTGTGGAACAGGAAGATCGGAAGTTTAAGGTCACCTTCAATTACACAGTGAGGTCAAGACCAGCCTGAGATACACAAGACCTTGTCTCAAACAAACAAACAAAACATTTAAGACTAGACCGTATCTCAAAACCAACAGCAACAAAACCCCTCCAGATGTAGTAGCGTATGCTGGTGTGAGGGAGGTGAAGACACCAAGAGCAAGAGTTCAAGGCCTGACCAAGCTACCTGAGAGTCTGAGGCTACCCTGAGCTACCATGAGATCATGTCTCAAAGAAAACCCCTCCAAACTAGAAGTTAAATTAAAAATATTTAGAGTATGAGGAATGCTAAGATCATAGCTCAGTAAAAGAGAGTGTGAGTACCAGAGGGGAGGCTCTAGGCCAGCGGTTCTCAACCTTCCTCATGCTGCAACCTTCCAACACAGTTCCTCATGCTGTGGTGACCCCAACCATAACATTATTTTCATTGCTACTTCATAGCTGTGATTTTGCTTCTGTTATGAATCACAATGTAAATATATAATATGCAGGATATCTGATATTTGACCCCAAAGGGATTACAGCTCACAGGTTGAGAACTCAACACTGAGAATTAAAGAATATCATCAGAAAACCTGGAGACCCTGTCCCACGGGCCCTGCGCCTTCGCTTCTGTGTTCAGTACTGGAATCCTCTGGGGCATCCAATTGGGTTAGGAGGAAAGAGGATGTATTGTATGCAGCGTGTGCATTAGAGAATTAATCCCTAGATAACAGGATTAGAGGGAGCCGGGCAGGCCATGGCCTCAGATGGAGATAGATTGCCCGGGAGTCTCTCTGATGGAGCAGCAATCAAGTTTCCCCTAAAGAAATGTCCTAATAATGGATTTGATGGCACAACAGACAGAGGGAACTTGGAGCCGCGGCCAGTGGCGGGGTGTAAATTGCCTCAGATGAAACTGCGGAGTCCCTTTTGCCCCTTTTTAACAAGATAAGAATTAGCGTGAGGCCTTGATGAACTCGCCTTGGCCAGTGGGGACGAGGGAACAGCAGAGTCCTGCCTAATTTGATTCCTGAGCTCTGTCTCAGACGGCCAGGCTCCTCCCAGGGAATGGAAGCAGACACGCAGATGCCATATGGCAGGGAGCCAGTCTGCT